AAAAAAATAATAAAAAACCGGATATAGATCCCGATTGAGAAAGCGGAAAGTGGGTCGCCCAGGTCTATACCAGTTCTTTAGCAGGCAGATAACCCGTCAGATAACTACAACTCCCTCAAACTCGTCCAATGGTCCTTTACGCTTCGAATATCTAATAAAATTAGTAAATATTCCAGTCAACCTTCGAAGGACGAACTGCTTCCTGTGTTGATTCTCTTTGGAACCCATGAAACCACTGGTACAGGGACAGGAAGTATGACAAGGCCCGAAGCCGTTCAGACCCTACCGAAAGACGAAAATAGCGTACTTTAAAAAGTCATTCTGTCACGAGAATGAATGAGACCGGCTGATGTCTAATGGGACAAGCAATGGGTCGTTTCTGAAATGAGACGGAAGGGTGAAGGCATCAGGGAGATATCAAGATTTGAGCTGACATCCCCCCACGGAAGCATTTCGGGATTGCTCATATAGGAATTCCCAGACGACGCCAATGACTGGATTCTTTACAGTCAGGGGAGAAGGATGATTGTTGAATTATTCACTTCTACTCTATTTTACTCTACTTCTTCCAGCAGAGTAAAATTTTACAGTAATTTTAAAATATGAATTGTATTACCAATATGGTAAAGTAGTAAAGAAGTATAAAAAATTCATTCTAATAAAAGTACTACTCTAACTTATTTGTAACTACAAATTAAACCAAATCAGGTGCATACAGTTCAAAATTTCCAGTCAAAACAGTCTAATTAGCTAATGCCTGTTTCGATTTCAGGTCCAAAAAAATGCCGAGATTTTTTGTCGATTTCCGATTTCCCACAGACAATTGGAGTTCCCAAAAGAGTGCTTTCCCTTTGCGGCCTAGAATCAAATTATTGAACAAGCAAGAGACTTTTCACTCGTTTCCTCAATTTACTGGTAACCACTTTCACTTCCGTGTAAGCATAAAACAGTTCTAACACCCTTAAGTTACTTTGTATGAACTTTTTTTTACAATAGTTGCATCACATATGAAGGACGGTGTTGCATGTAACAATAGATTAGTACCACTTCACGATTACAAGTTATAAAAACTAGTAATGCATTAAAACATGAATGCATTATAGCCTTCTTTGGCCGTAGACAATAGATAATTGCCATCGCGACTTTGCACTTTCGTTTCCGATTACTTTGTTTGCGCTTTCATGGTCACTAAGAGTTCGAAATTGATTTGTACTTGATTGATTTGACTTTTCTGGAACTCCTACAAAATTACTACTTTGAAGTTTTACTTATCCTGATACTTTATGAGGTAACTGAATGAAAAAGTCGCTAGATTTACTGGAAATAATAAATTCTAGGCTTCTCATTCTATTGATCAGATTCCATCGTATAGACAGACAATGGGAACGCGAATGTGTCGCAGTGGTTTTTATTACTAGTTGACTTCTTTATTACCTGTAAGATTGACAGGTAGACTGGTTCGTAACAGTCTTCGACCCACATTGGATTTGTAGTGGAAATTAATGAGATCTACCTGGATATGCTTGTTTTTGTAAACTACCCGCTAGAACTGAAAGGCAATCAAATGCTTCCGCAAATCTGTTATTAGGTGATGTTCAGGGCGCAATCGAAAGAGCTGTAGTCTAAACGCACTTTCTTCATATTTTTTTNTTTTTTTCCGGAAATACTAACAAGTATATGCAAAAATATATAAAATAAAGCACTAGGCTCGTTAAAAACCCGTAAAAAACACCCCCTCCGAAAAGTAATCTACTACAGTTTTTTCAAACTACTCTGCCGTACAGGTTTGCTACGGTTGAGCCAATTTACTTGGTCGACGGGTAAGTTTTTCTGTTACAGTTATAACCCGCGTAAGTAATGATTTTGAGAATGTTACAGTACTGTGCAGTACTTATCTTGACTGCCGTTAAAATGGATTTATATTTTAGAGAAAATAAAAGGTAAATTTTTAAATTAGCAAGATAGTCACAGTAAAGGCAGAAAAAACGCGTTTGCACAGATAACTAGGAACGGAGTTCAGTATTGTCCTATGAAATTTTGCAGAACGTGAGAAAAAGGGTCTGAAAGAAGGTCATAGCGATCGGAAATCGGAATGCGAAAGAGCGGAACCACTATAGTTTTAAAAAAAAGTTGACGTCGTATAGAAAGTAGCAGCGATCAGGATGTTGTCGTAGGAAATTCCAATCTCTTGACAATCAAAAGATAGTGCATTGTAACGGGACATCAGGAATTTGAAGAAAAAACCCCTCGAAGACATAAACTTTCGCAGTCTGGCGTGTACGAGAGCAGAAAAAGTGATTTTGTCGACTACGACGGGTGAAGGATCGAGAAGGAGAGGGCGATTCCCCCCGAAGAGGTGCCTGGGACCAGAAAGAGGAGGATGATGTCGTTCGAGGCTTTGTTATCATGGAAAAGGGATGATACATGACAATGATACTAATTTGTAGCCGTGCGAAAAATTGAATGAGAATGTCGTCGTGGTCAGTCATCATCAGCCAAAAGGAAATTTTTCAGCCGGACGATTGGACGAGACCGTGAAATTGATCCGAGCCAGCCGACGATATATGTGTATTGACGACAGCCCAATACGACGTGATA